CCTATGTTTTAGTTTTATTTGAAATAGTCATATATTAACAGATTCTGTATATGTGAAGACGTGAGGAGACTGGTATGGATTTTGGCAGAGACACACAATGCTAAGAAGAGGTTGTGATTTAATTCTTGTGTTGTGCCCCAAGACCTAGGGCACAATGGAAAAAAGTAAAGTTAATTAAAATAATATAAATCTATTCTTCCTACTTAGTAATTTCCTAAAGTAGTCAAATATGCAACATGTGATCATGATAGTATAAAAAGTTTGCACCTATTGAAAGGGCCTGTGAAAGGAAAAATTGAGAGACATCATTGGGGCAATCTGTCACCAAATATTTATCAATTGCATAAAACGATGTCATCTCTGTACATTTCACCATGTGGATTTCTGGTCCCTCAAAAGTCAATAGCATTTCTAGGATGCTGATATAACAGAAATATACAATTAAGTTTAAATAATGTAAGAGAAAGAAGTAGAAGGATGTTAATATTAATTGAACCTATAGTTTATGTCAAGAAACAGTCACTCCTGTCCCTCAATGGCAGAGTACATGACTCATGATAGCTAAAATGTCTGTTTTCGTGATCTTATAGAAGAAAGTTTGCCAGATCTTCTCTGACAATGTCATAGGACAACCATCAAAACCAGAAAATCATCATTCCATGTATCCTAACCTAAGGACTCAGTTAGGATATTGTGTTCCATTTTGCTGCCATGTTTTTTTTTTTTTTTAAAGATTTATTTATTTATGCATACAAGAACTGGGTATAGGCCAGAGGTGTGGTGGGTAAGAGGATTCACCAGAGACAGAGTGGGGAACAGAACAGACAGATTGACTGACTGAAATACACTGCTGAGGGGAGCAGCGGGTGAGACAGGATAGGTCTGTTGCGCCATGTGGGTCAGCTCCCTGGCCAGGGATCGAACTTGTGTTGCCGTGGCTGGGGATAGCTTCAGAGGTTGCGTCTTAACCCCTTGCACCACCAGGAAGATCCTGCTATGCTTTTAAAATCACATTCTGTTATGATGCCATAAAAGACCTTCCTTAATTGTCATGAACTTGACACTTTTGAAGATTACAAGCATGTTACTGTGTAGAATGACCATCAACATAGATTTGGCTGCTGTTTCCTTGCAATTAGATTCAAATTATGCACACTTAGCTGGACTCTTACTGAGAGATGTGCCCTGTGCTTCTCATGTCATCCTTCAGTGTGGCGTGATATTCTTCCCATTACTGCTGATGCTTACTTTGGTCACTTGATCAATGTGGTGTAATGTGCCTTAATTAACAAGATACTCCATTTAATATTATTAAGTATTATATATTTTTTTGACAAATTCATAAAGATATTCTCAGAGAATATGTATATAGTGTGTCTCTAGATTTTGTTTTGGTGAAGGGAGTTTAGTTGTTGCTAATTCTACTTTGTCAAGAAAGTATTTGTGTTTTAACTGAAGATTGTATTATAGGGTGCATACCTTTTAAGATTAAAGAAAGAACAATTTGCTTATGAAGGCATTTCAGACACTGAGCCAGGTATTATAGAAGAAACAGAACTAAAATATCAAACCATAACATCATTATTAGATCTTTTAAACTTCTTTCAGTGTATGATTTATAAGGTCTATTCATGTGGGGCCTCTTACCTGTAGCCTGTGAGACAGGACATGAGAACATGCCTGTTTGTTAACACACAACTCTAAAAAAACTCCTGTAGTCAATACTGAGTCTTCTGTGGATTTTCACTTCCTTGCAGACCCACTAATAATACCGCACCTGTCATTACATAATAGTTGCTCCATAAACATGTGTTAAATGAATGAGAGAATGAATGAATGAACCCATTTTAAAATTGACTTTACAAATAGCATATTTTATAAAAGTCCTTGTGACTTTTTCTTTGGAAACTACATGTTGTGCACAAGTTTGAGAGTTTTGAACTCCTAGACAATTAAAAATATAGACTCAAAGAAATATATGCCTGAAAGGAAGCAATAAGACAGACTTTATTTGGATGGTCTGCTGCACTTTAAATAAAAACTTATTTCCAAAAAAAGTCAAACAAAGCATGTCCCCTTGCAAAAATAAAAGTCAAATAAGACTTTCAAAACTCATTATCTTACAGTTGAATAGAAATGTTCTTAAAGATTTCAGAAAGCGAGCCAGGGAAGTGAAAACCAAGTCACACCCTCAGCTGTATAACCTGGGGTGCTAATAGCCCAGTGCTAACAAACAATGTTCCTTTCTAAGTTTTTCACTGAGGCTCATGTGCAAAAGGTAATGCTTAAATTTTTACATTTTTTTCTATATCCTTAAAATATATTCAAGTTTGTTTCCTACCTGTATTCTGCCCCACATCAAAAATATTCAGAGAAAACCAATGCACTGACATTTTCTTTAACTTCTGCTGTGTTTTATTCATCTGTGAGCTAAACTAGAATGAATTCCAAAGACTTGGGAAGGATTAGGTTAAGATATAATCTTGAAAATACTTAATAAACATAGGGAACTGGAACACATAACATCTAGCCAGGAATCCAACTGATTTCTACTCAAAGTGGCCCCCTACGATAAGCCTACAGACTTACAGAGTATGAATCCATACATTTGATTATATTATCCCTCCATTTCCCTAGCCACAGGGGTAGAGATTTTGCCAGCATGTCTCATTGCCAATCCAAACAGTGATATGAGTTGCTTCTTACAGCCATGGCACACTCTCCTCATCAGAAAGCTTTATGAATGGATGTGCATTAATCAAGCAGTCATCCTAAGAGGCAGAGTGGAAGCAGACTCTGAGCTTGGAAGATGTCTGGAAGCTTCCAGGTGCAGAGCTTACATTTACTGCCTTGTCGATGAGTCCTGGATGTCAGTAGGGCTCAGACAAATACTCCAATTCTACTTTCTGTATCTTTAAATATTTCTAATTCTGTGTATATCAGCTCCAATACAGAGCCTTCCATTTGCCCTTAGACAGGCATCTATCTGAAATCCTTCCTTAGCACAAATCAAGTTGATGGTTTTTGGCAACTTACTTATTTTTTTTTTAATTTAATTTTCTCATCTGGAAAATCATGGTTTTTGTTATCTATTGCTGTTGATAAAACTTTACAAGGTGTCACAAGTAAAGAACCTAGTAGGGTCAAATTACAGTGCTTTCTACCAATTCCTTGAGAAATGATGTTACACTTTCTCCTTAAAACATTATCATTTTTCTGTATTTTGGTCATGTAATCATCATCTTCATCAAATCTCCTTTATTGAGTATTTTTTTTTGGTCACAGTATCCCATATGTATATGTATTTATGTAGAATCTCATTTGGCCTGTTGTGTATCCATGTATGCAGTTAATAAATATGATCCATTCACTTTGAACAAATGCTATATATACTGACTCTGCGAATGAATGTTGTTTGTCCCATTTTACAACTGAGGAAACCAAATCTTAGAGAGATTAAGACACATGAACAGCATTAAATGATGAGCCAATATCTTAGCTGAATCAAATCAGCCTTTTAAACTCCAGTGCCTACCTGTTACTTTCTATAATAAAGGCACCAACTACTCACAGCAGACTATCTTAAAGGAATCATCAAATCCTTTGATTACTTATATTAGCAGCTCATTTTACTTGGAAGCAGGAACTGTGTACTCTACAAGCAACAGGTTTGACAGACTTTCACTTGTGATTTAATTTTCCCAGTTTGCTTTCTTAGCTGTTTACTCTAAAATGTGGGATTTTAAGAAATCATCTTTGAACCTCTTCCAATTATATAAAATGCCTATAATTAATAAATATTTGAAAATATAGTAAAAATTAAATTGCAATCTAGAATAATGAATTGTACTCAAGATTTTATATTCAACAATATTATAGCTCACTTTGGATCTATGCAAATAAGAACATATTCCAAAAATCTTATATCTCAATATGCTTTGTATATAATCAAAACATTTGATATGTATGAATAGCCACTTGTTGTGTGCAACCTTCTCCACCTACGTGTTTCATCTGAATATTCATGACCACTGAGTGAAAATGGCAAGTACAACCTCTCTTGAAGGTGAGAATACTTAGTCTTTTAGAATTTGAGGGAGCTCGTGTTTGTGAATATATTTGTCTTCCTCAGGACTCAATCATGATTACAGTGGGTTGAATAGTGTCCCCACAAAACTCACATGTACTTGGAAGTTCATAAAGTGATCTTGTATGGAAGTACAGTTTTCCATATAATTACACTAATTACTAATTACAGATTGGGTATAATCAGTTTAATAAAGAAACCACATGATCTAAGTGTCTACCTCTAAATCTAATAACTTCTATATAAGAACAGGAAAGGACACACTGACACACTGAGAGGGTCATGTGATGGCAGAGACAGAGACAGAGATCACATGTACAGTTACAAGTTGAGGAGCAGGCAGGGCTTCCAGCATCTACCAGAAACTAGGAACAGGTAAGGGTGGATTCTTTCTTAGAAGCCTTCAGAGACAGCATTCCCTCCTAAAGCCCTTACTTTAGACATTTTGCCTCCAGAACAGAGAGAATAAATGTGTGTTGTTTTAAGCCACTCAGTTTTTGTATTTTTTACAGAATTATCAGAAAAGTAATACATCTAAGAAGCAAAAAAACACTGTACCATCTCTTCTGAAGACCATAACAGACCAATATGAGAGCAGTAGAAACGAAACAAGTGAATGAATTAAAGAATTTATTATTATTTTCATTTTGCAACCATTTCTTGAGGTGATTGACATGACATAATTTACATTTTTTAATAGACCATAAAAGAACAACAGATTTGGAAGTCAGGGAGGTAGACAGGAGACTGCACAGTGATCCAGGAAAAAATGGACGGCTCTAGCAGGGATGAGGTGAGAAGGACAGGGTGCTGGTTTTACAATACTGATGTCAAGTCCTGAGAATGTGTAAGCTACTAAGATAGAGGGCTGGATTTAGAAAGGAGTTCTTGAAACAGAGATTTCAGAGGGTTGAATTTATTGGTGATGATTTTTGACAATGGATTAGGTGAGTGTGGTGAGGTAGAAGGAAAGATCATCTGAAGTGCAGAGGAAAGACAAAGTGAGAAGCGAAATATTTTTATGTACTTGTAAGATAGCCTCAGGATGTGACTGTGGGCTGTGTCATCTCCCCCTCAACGCTGCAGAGACAAATGCTGTCCTACCTTCTTCATATATCTTAGTGCTTGTCACAATCCTAGAATTAAAGATAAATTTAGCGAGTGTTTGCTGCAGGACTGAATTATTAGACTTATAAGAATTATTAGAATATTATGTTTCTGATAAAACTGATTTTAAAGGATTTTCTATCTCACATCATTAGTGACATACTACCATGATAACTCAGGACAAGAATGGTGTACCTCCCACACACGTGCACACACTCACACACATGCATGTACATACTGTTCCTGCATTAATAAAATGACATATAGTTACCCCAAAATGAACGTGAGGGGGATGGAGGTGTTATGGCAGCTGGGGACTCAAGGCACAGGGATTCTGCTGTTGGTGGGAGCTTTCATGGCAGAAAAAGAGGTGGAAAGCCACTTTCTCCATAAGTAGTGTGTTTATGTATTATTCACAGTAGCAAATAATTGCAAAATGTCAACATTTCATTTTCCTCGTAAGAGCTTCTTTTGATTAGTGACCTAATTAACCATTAAGAAGAAAAGGTTTTTTAAGTGTAAATATGAAAAGAGGGAGTGTTTCTTAGCAGCAATTTGTGATCTTAAAATGTCAGAGGCAGGCACATCACAGAGGTGCTACCAACCAGCACTTTTCAAAATATGACTCCATGTCAGCAGCGTGTGGCGTGGATGTGTGTGGGGTTTTTTTGTCTGTGTTCTGAAACAAGCAATGCAAATATAGATATGGTTGCCCAAGAGATTTCTTTCCCTTTTTGAAAACCCTTCAACATTTTCTCTGACAGCCTAGAAAAGGTTGTTTTTAATCAATTTAATTTGAGGCTGTATTCTCCACAGATAATGACATGCTTTCACTTCCTGAGTATCTATGGAAAAAATGCAAAACTGTAACACACAGGCACACACATTCCCATGTATGCAACAAATGTACAATGAAGGAAAATGTACATGTGCAATGCACCCACATGCAACACACAATACAACACACTGACACAAACGTGTACACTATATACAGCTCATACGTTCACAGAAAACACACACATACACACAATGCACACATTTATACACCCACCACACATATAGCCCTGCATACCTCCACATACCACATGTGAATACAAACACCGGCTACACATAATCACAATCCATATTTACATATGAATGTTAAAGACATTTCTCTAAGACCTTATTCCTCATGTCAAGGTGTGACATCTCCTGGGAGAGTTCTGCTGGAAACATTTCTGAAACAGCTTTCCTCACAGTTGACAGTAAACTGACCTTTCATTTCAGCTGCCCACAGGGACCAAGGATGAGCAAGATGCATAAAATGTGGAAAAACAAACAAACAACATCTATAACCATATAGCATCCTTACAAAGGTCCAAGTCAGTTTTAAATATATTCTACCTGACTTCTACCTGATAACAAGATAATAAAGTTCTGTTACTAGAAACAAAAATATTACTATAAGAATATCTCTGTCTTTGGAGGTTATGATGAAAATAAGTCTATAAAATAAACTGTGAAAATCAAACAAACCCAGATTACATTGATTTATAGTATTATAATAAAGCAAGATTTATAAAAAAATCTTAGCAATTAGTTAAGACCCATCTAAACCTATGTTCTTATTGTGTAATGTACACACATATGCATGATCTTTGTTAATAAACTTTTCAAGACCAAGTGCTTGACTTTTTTTTTTTAATTTTCATGTTTTTTTTCTTTCTGAATCACCAGTAATAAATGGCAAGTCCTAATAATTTTGATCAATAAGTGATTCATCCTTAAGAATGAGAATGCAGATTGACTTAAAGCATTGAATACTATTTTGATAGGTGATTTATTTAGACCCTACTATGAGTCAGGTAGAGTGAAATACCTTATAGGTAACAAATAATGAGAAAATTCCTACTTTCCAGGAGCCACTAACTAGTAGGAAAAACATGTGTTATGATAATTTGATCAGTGATAAGGGGAGGGAAGTCATACAAGTATGCAGGGAGATGTAACTGAGGGTCAGGAAAGTTTTCTTCTATCTCATACTCCACCTCACTTCCTGCAAAGAGTTTGAGCTCCAGAAACAGGAACTTGAAAGTTTATGAACTGAGGCAGAAGGCCACACTGTCAGGATTCAAAAATACACATTGTGATGTCACAGTGTCTCAGATGCTAGAATCATCCATTAAAAATCTATGCTGCATGACAAATTTCTACAGGAAAATGAAGCTATTAAAAAAATCATTTCTCAGTTTGGATCTTACCACAATCATTCAGAGGATTTTTGTGAAGACAACTGGACTATATTGGGACTAATGTCGCTCCCCTATTTCTATTCTCTATTTGCCTCTATAACAATTTGTATCAGAAAGGGTTCCAGATGTGAAAGCCATTTGTCTTCATGGGTATACATCTGCCTCTTCATTCTCACATGCATGTGAGTATGTATGTTTGAGTGTCCACATGTCCTCCAGTACTTTGCTCATGACCAACTAGCTCTATGTGTACCTGGGATGTCTGACCCTAGGAGAGCCTGGACTTGACCTGCCTGAGATACTGGCACTTCTGATGGGCAGAAAGAGCAGTTGAGTAAGTCACTTCTGTGGGAGCGTGATATCTAGAAATGACAGAGGGGAACGGTGTCTCTTTGAGACTGAGATTGCCAACATCCTAAAAGATTGAAGCCATTCACTCCAGCTCCAAGCTACAGACTAGTCCCCATTCTTGAGGAAAATAATCATTTTTCCTATACTATTAATAGGAGCAGCTGATCTTTTTTCTAACTTGTCCAGTGCTGCTGCTTTATCTTCAGCTTAAGCCTGTATGTGACCGCTGGGCCCATGGGCCTGGAGACATGTGGGCAAGGATATTGTTGCCTTGTACTCTGCAGTGAAGTGGAGACCATGTTCACCCCATCACATCACTCAACTATTGAGGAAATATTGTTGGAGAAATCAAAGCTTGTGTTTGATTGACAATAGTGATGAGAGGGAAACCTCAGCTCCTGGTCCAGCAAGGATGTTTATGATAGCAGGTTCTAGTAGGTAGCATAAGTGGAGCCACGTGACATGTTCAATTCTGATTTGGAATGCTTAATTTTGGAACATGTTTTTTCTTTCTTCAAATTTTAAATAAGAGACAAAAGACCCACGGGGATATACAGAAAGAAAGTTCTCCTTCTCCAACATTAATGTATGGTCTTTAGGAATGGTGATTTATGTGGACCTCTCTGAGAGCTCACCCTTTCTTATTTGTGAGCTCTCAGAAAGCTCTCATAATCCATGATTAAAAATCATGGCACTACTAGTACTATTGGTAGGAACAGTATGGGAGAATTATAACATGAGATGCTGAGGACTCAGAGAAAGATGGAGGAAAAAAATACAAGGAAGACATGTCAGAGGTACATACTAGAAATTCCTGAGTTTTGTCTCTTAAAATAATAAAAGGAAACTTTTCTTGAATAATTTGTAAAAGGAAAGAATGAAAAGAAACAAGGTCCTTGGCCAAGTAGCCTCCTCTTTGCAACCATCCAAGGGGCTCTGTGGAAGCCAGTGATAGGTGCTGTGTGGAGAAGATAATGACACTACCCAGGAAGGACCAGCCACCACCTGATCTTTCACACCAACTTTAGACCCATGTAACCAGACAATGGCTGAGCAGGCTGTGCAGCGTAGAGATGGGCAAATCACAAAAACAGACTGATTTTCTCCTTTACTGTCTGAAATTGAAAGAGTTTATATAACCAAAGCCAGAAATTTTGTACCAAATGCCTGAGACCTAATCATCCTTTTTTCATGGTTATGGTGTCTTCTAGTCTGATTCAAAATCTGAACTTTTTGATAACTGAGCAAATCCAGGTGATTCCTCTGGACTCTAGGCATACAGCAAATGAGGGAAGATGCCTTCAATAAACATCTCCTTTTTGCCTGACAAGCAGTGGCTAAACTGCTTTTTATTTTTTGCATTTTATTAGTTATTAAATAATAAATATAAATTCCTAGGTGGGTTTCCACAAAACTAATCTCTCCAGCAATCGTTAAGCTAAAAAAAAAATCAATATAAAATTTATGTAAGTGAGACATTTAAAACTATGGTTCCTGTGGAAACAGATTCCCAAAACAAACTAATTCTTAGAATAAGTATTTATCTTTCTGGAATGGTGCTGCTTATATTGTTTGAAGTCAAAAAGGAAAATGTTGTATGTTAATCATATCTTCTTCTCCAGAGAAATTTGTCCAAGGGGTCAAAGATGCTGAAACACTGACAAAGACACTAAATCCTGTTTTGCAAGTTGCAAAATTCTGCACTGAGCTGGGCAACGTAGCCTCTGTCCTTTCCTCTGTATATACACAAGTTTCTCCAAATCTACTTTCTTCACCTCCATTAGTGCTCAATTCAGCCACCATTACCTCTTAGCAGATGGCATAAAGATCCTTCCAATTGGTCATCCTGCCTCTACTCTAGCCAACCTACTATCCTTTATCCATGGCAGCAGTTACTTAGAATTATGTCATTTCATATCTAAATTTCACCAATGACTTTCTATACCCCTTGGCATGAAATTAAATTCCACATCCCATTTGTCAGTGTCTTTCCAGTTCTCATGATGGAAAAACCCCTTTCCTTCTCTGTAATGTTCTATTTCCCATGCCTTGGTTTGCATTTTTTTTCCCAATAAAACTCACTAGCCCCATTCTTGCACCTGGCACATGCTATTCCTTCTGCCTGAGCTTACTATTTCTAGCTCCTGTCTACTATGGACATTTTGGTTTTAATGCTCTCTCTTCAGGATAGCCTTCTGTGATCATTTAAATATCAATACTTGGAACACAAGGCCTTGTACTTTATAACACTCAGTACTATTTGGAATTGTGAGCACACAGACAATGATGGTTACCTAATGCTAGTCTCTCTATAGATGCTTAATGAAATCTAATCCTAACTTATATCACTGGATTATAATTGTATTTGTTTAATTATTAATATTTGATATACTGTCTCCTTCTGAGGTTCATTCCAATCACATAATCTCATGGTTGAACATTGAGTTATTTGGAAAGATTCTAAGACACAATGTTTTCCAATAAAAAAATTCTAGTAGGCTGTCAAAGCATATGGCCTGCACTAGGCAAAAAGTAATATGATAGTGAGCATAGAATGGACCAGGTTCCTAGCAATATGCCATAAAATCTTGCCACTGTGCTGATATGTGACCTTTATAGCTTGTAGCTTTTAAAATCATATTCTTACCCAGTGCTGCATGTCACACTCATTAAAATAACAATTAACCCTATACACTGCTGAGTGGCATTAGTATCTTTTACAAGAAAAGCACATGATTTCATTTCATGCAAAATGAATATAAAAGGTCATGCAAATAACTCAAGTGTTTTCGTTCTATAAGTCACCATATGAGCTGGAAGAAAACCAGCACAACTTAATTCACAGGAACATAAGCCAACACCTTTCTAAGGAAGATAAAGGTAGAAGAAATGAAATCATGCAAATTTTAACTGTAAGGTGGTAGGTAAAAATGCATAATTGGATAGCAGGAACCATGTATGATATAGATGGATGAAAATTCCAAACTGTACACAGGTGATTATTCAAACTACTCCAGTCTAGATGGGTTTATCCTGGTGCTTTATTAAACTCAGACTTGCAGACATGGGTCATTTGAATTTGCATTAATGACTTTATATTGACGCAATAGCTTCATTACCATATATAGCCATTATTTGATTTCCCAATTCACAAATAGGTGTTTCTGTTTTTAATAATAATAATATAATCATTTTAACATAAATATGTTATATTTCAGCTAACAATTCCATCAATGAATAGACTTCTTTATGAATGGGATCAAAGGAAACATTTTATTTATAAATAGTTAACATAGAGCTCTGATATGTAATTTTACTGGCATAAATGCAAAAACAGGGTTAGTTTTATTTTTCAAACTTCTACCTTCTCTAAAACAAGCAGTAGATAGGATAATTAAAACTTAACTTTGTATTGATTTGGTTTTAAATTCGAAGTTTTTGCTTTTCCATGTGGTGAAAACATGAAAAATATCATTCAAATCAGGATTTCTAAATCAAGAAAAATATCATTCAAATGCAGAGATTCCTAATATTCCTGCAGCAAGTGTCTGTTGTGGAAATCTGCTGCATAATTTAACACTTGATTAAAATTGTGCACAGGAGTATCATTTGTCTGAGATTAGTTTGATAGCTGGAATTAAAATATTAATAAAATTGTATTGTCAAAAAGACTTTTGGGTTCATATAGAGCAATTTCCTAGCTAATATTACATCCTTGTATGGTACAAATAAATATGGTCATTAAGGTTTAACTGTCTAGTGCTAGTGAAGCCATCATCATCATCCCTCACTTTGTGAAGCTCTGAGTAATAGAAGAGCTGCTATTTTGAGAATCAAAGTCCAATGGATTCCCAGAGTGCTCCCCATCTACTCTGAGCTCCCATGATACACACTCCTCTTCCACATACAACATCCTATTTAAGACACCTGTTTCCTACAGCACCTCAACTATTTCTTATAAGACAGAGTTTTTATTTGCTTAAATATAAAACTAGTTTCTTGTTCAGCATTTTGCCTGAATGCTTTTTTGATGGATTTGGTTTGTAACTAAAATGTGTTTTCTTGAATTAAGTGCAGTTCTTTAACTACAGCCTATTACTCTTTTGCTTTCAAGATGCCATGATTCTATTAACGTAACTCAAGTTGTGTTAGTCTTTAAACAACCACATGTCTTATCATTGGCTCATATTATCTGATACTCAAGCTACTTTTCACTATCTTTTCTAAATATCACATATAAATCTTTCAGTTTTCACCAGAATGTGTAATTTTACTTGAAGTAAAGTCAGAGGAAACAAATATGTTTGACTTATTCATCTTACCCAGCAGACCCTCCTCCCATTTTCCTGAGCTTTCTTTCATTGGTCATCTGGTTTCCAATTGTGTAATTTATTCTTGTTTTTACATCCAGAATGGTTCCTCCAGAATTTACCCCTGTCTGTATTACTGGACATTTTTTTTTAAGATTTATTTATTTATACATACAAGAGTGGGGTATAGGCC